CTAGAAAGTTATACCAAGCAAACAGCAAGTATTAATTCTTTGTATCATAACATATCACAAAGTTTAAACTACCCAAAAACTTAGGTATAATTTTCAATATACGGTATGTTACTCTTTTTCATAATGTTTGGTTGCTCTATTTCTTTACAGAGCTCAAAACTTTCTGTCTCTTTTATTCTATTTATGAACATAACACTATTGACATTGCAATCCTAGCAGTATGCAGGATGCATGTCATATGTGAACTTTGTAATGGACCTTGCTTTACATGGAGTCTCTATGGCTCAGTGGTAGAGCATCGTAGTCAGGGTTGGATCAGAAGGTCTAAGGTTTGATTCCTCTCTGGACTTCAAAACGTTTATTTTCATTCCAGGCTGTTTACTAGATTAAAAAACATCTTTTCCATTTTTTTAACAAGCTCAAAACCTTCCATTTTTCTTATTCTCTGTTTGGTCCTATATTTTAAAATGAACTTCACACTTCTCATGAAGTTGCAATTTTTCTTTTCTGGGGACCCTTGACCCTGACCCAGCCAAGAAGAAGAGAATATGTAGAAGAATAGTTTATTCAATACCTTAATAGCAGCATGGGCTGAATTGCTAAGATTTAAAATGTATAGAAGGAGAGATTTTATAAATATAATTACAATTTTACTTACATGCTTACAATAAGAATCCTACGACCACGACTACAATAAGGATCCTACGACTATGACTACAAATATAAAATCTTGGAAATTAGTGCAGTTGAATTGCTAAAAAAGAACTGCACACTTGTTAAAAAAAGTGTCATGACACCTATTGGTCTTACATGGCTTTACACGGTATGGTCTAGCCTTCCTGAGGTCTTTAGTTGGTCTCTCGTTGAAAGGAATAAGAGGTGCAGAACATCAAGGAGGTTATTTACAATTTTGTTTAAATGTTTTTTTACATAGTTCCGTCCTTCTTTGCTCTACCGTAACGAGGCCTGAACGTGCCAGGGCATCTGAGTAATGCACTTCGTAACCGAAAATTATTCTAAGAGCACATTTCTGTATTCGTTGTAAACTTAAGATTAGATATTGTGGAAGACTAAAATGAAAAACCTGGCAGCCATAAAGTAAAACAGATTGGATGCAGGCAACATAGAACTGAACTAGGTCTTCAAGTTAGCTTTCATCGGGATATTTGATCACCTAGCTACTTTTACCTAGCCAACAAGCTTCCTCAAGATGCTTTCTCAGTATTGTTAGCACCAAGTAAATTAAAAGCTTTGTCAACAGTTGCTGAAGGCTATGTGTTTAAAGAATTTACTATTCTATCTTGTAAACTGGGGGTTAAATACATCAGCAACTCTGGCCGACTTCTGTGTGTCAGTCTTACATAAAGAACAAGACCAGATAGAAGTGGTTCCTTTTTCTCAACAAGGTAAATCTAGACATGAAATATGCTACTGAGAACAGCGACACTAAGTGTGGTTTTGATGCCCCTGATAAATCTGTCTGGCTCTGCAGCCAATGACATTGTGATGGAAAACTCATCCACAACAACCACTGGGTAGCTTTCATGTACTAAATATACTTTGTCACTGCAATACAATCTAATAAGCATTCCGACTGGTGGGGCATCCAAAGTGAGTTCCGGCTAGGGCTGCGATGTGAACATACAAAATAACCAAACAAACCAAAAAAACAATTAACTTCCCTGCAATACTCTTACCAATCCAACCTTGAAAAGCATTTCCATAACAAAACTGATCAATCAGGATTATTACCTCTTATTCAAAGCTAAGTTACCTTTAATGCAAAGTGAGGTTGACATAAAGTCTTGTCAAAAGCTAATCCCAGGATGGTATTATTCATCTCTGGCCATGCTTGCAAATCTTTTGTTTTCAAACTAATAAACCACCATTCCTTCGGGCTTACACTATTTTGCGAAACGAAACGAAACGAAACAGGGCGAGATGTAACGAGACTAAAAGAATAATGCAGATACATGATCTAATTGGGCAAAGATAACTTTCACAAGAATAATGGAGTAATCATCAATATATGAGACGGATTGTTATTCATTTTGCAAAATAGTAATTTTAGGAGAGTTAATTACTATTTTGCGAAATGGACTATTTTCACCCCGCGGTGACTACTTGACCGCTTTCATGTCCCTCAAGTACATTGAAAACATTATAAATTAGTATATTCCCAAAGATTTTGGCCATCTCTCAGTTATTAAACCGGATTTTTATTCATTTCGCAAAATTTTTTAAATTATTTTTTTAAATAGAGACTAGTGAGCAGCACTTCTGTGAACAGTAGTTGTAAAACTTCTTTTATTTTCCGACGCGTTTTGTCTAACTGTCGTAGACTTCTTCAGGGAGTCGTACATGTATAACTAAACGCCTGTATTTATAAGCCAAAGTTACAGGGGCCGATGACCATAAAGGCTTGGCCGGGCTTACGAACAGGAACAGGTGAAGTTGTGAAAAATTTAAAACGTGTTAGGCAAGGTGAGAAAAATATTTTGGGGGCCACGGTTTTAGCTAAAACTGTTTTTAAAAAATAACGCGAGCCAGGTGCCCATCGTGTCAGAAGAAGATTCCTATGAAGTTATGGCCCATGAGGTACACCGAGTACAACCAGAATGAAGAGCCCTTTTATGTGGTGTAATGCAATAACATGCACCGGTTGAACAAATGAGTTCCCCAAGAGAATACAGATAGCGCCCTACGACATTGCTCTACTACACTAAGAGCGTTATCGCTGCCGTAAAAATGACGATAACGGCAACGTTGAAATGGTGATAACAAATAAAAAGAAGGCAAAAAGGTTTTACTGCATTGATAAGAACTGCATCCTTCCAAGGCACCCTAAAATTAAAGGGGAGCTAAAAAATTTAAAGATTTGTCTAATATCTTGGGGCCGTTTTTAATAAAACAATTATTCCACTCGGGCTTGTTGGATATGAGATGATTATAACCAACTCGGTGCAATGCACCGGGTTGGCTATCTATCATCTCATATCCAACAAGCGCGAGTGGAATAATTGTTAAATATTATGTTTGTCTCTTATTTCTTACGATATATCTCTTACAGTAGTAATTTTATAATTGCGAAATGAACTATCTTTACGCTACGATGAAAAATATTTCTCCGTTCTATCGTCACCAATACATGTTTGATTACTTAAAAGCTTTAAATATACATTGCAAACCTAAAGCCTAATAATTTTTAGAATGGATTTAATACATTAGAACTTCGATAACCCGAATCCTCCGGTAACCCTTACAAGACCCAATCTTTCATTCACTTAATTTTAATAGCAACTAATTGGAAACATTTTTTGCCACCCAAGGAAATTCAGGATAGCTGGGTTCTACTGTAGTGACGTGATAGATGCGGAAAAACGTTGAAATACCAGTTTAATTAGGTCTTTGTGTAATTTTCGCCTGTTTCAAACTTAAACATTTCGATGGGAAAATCCTTGTGACTGTCTTTCAGTCGCTGCTTTACACTGTCGGTGACAATTACCAAACCTCTCCAGAAGTATGGTACGCTTACATATTTGTGGATTACGGTATGTTGGCTCATATACCATAATGGCTAAGCCAATAAAAACTCTTGAATTGCATTATCCACTGATCCAGTTTGTAATAATTGGGAATATATCATAGTGTAATGTTCAGAAGTAAATTTTTGACCCGGAAAAAAAGGCATTTTTATTGAAGGATAAAAATTATTCAAAATGATACCCCTCCAAAAATTACTATTTTGCGAACTGTACTTTAGTACACATTAATAAATAGGAGGACGCCAAAATGTTAGTACTTTATGTTAAAACTCTTACGCAGTATCCGTGCTCTCCAAATTTCCCGCTTGCATCCATAACTCGATATAAGCACTCTAAGTACGAACACATTCTTAATTTTTTGGACATTGTTACTTCGTGAAATTAATTAAATGAATTAAAGGAGGAGATGACCAAAATCCTCGAGAATATACTATAGTGTAATGTTTCAACGTATTTGTGCGACCCGAAAAGGGAGACATTTTTATTGAAGGGTGAAAATAGTCCATTTCGCAAAATAGTAACTCTCCGAAAATTACTATTTTGCGAAATTGACTTTAATCTGGTGTTAAAACTGAGAGGAGGCCAAAATCTTTGGGGATATACTAATTTATAATCTTTTAAATGTATTTGTGTGACATGAAAACGGTCAAGTAGTTACCGCGGGGTGAAAATAGTCCATTTTGCAAAATAGTAAATCTTCTAAAATTACTATTTTGCGAAATGAATAAAATTCTGTCTTATTAATTGTCGATTACTCCAATATTCTTGTGAAAGTTATCTTTGCCCAGTTAGATCATGTATCTGCATTATTCTTTTAGTTTCGTTACATCTCGCCTTGTTTCGTTTCGTTTCGTTTCGCAAAATAGTATAAGCCTTCCTTCTTACTTAAGTCTTCAATTGTCTGTTTTTCAACTTAGTTTACTCATCAGTTCACTGCTGTTTTAAAGGCTGAGAGGCTCACTATGGTACTATAGTCAATCTCTTGGCAAACTCCATGCTTTCAATACAAGGGTAGGTTTTAGAAGGCTTTGGCAAAACCCAGACCGGATCTTATCTGATTTACCAAGCCTAGACCAGATCGGACCGGATTAACAAAACCTTTGATCGGATTGCGTCCGACTGGCAAAACCCGGACCGGATCCGAAAAAATCGGATCGGTAGGTGTTATACCATACAAACCAAACGAACAGTGAATACAGGTTGTACAATTTCAAAGAAATTCGGTCAATTTTAGTGCAAGAACATACCTCATATTGGAGCTGTCCTTTCGTAAACGTGGAAAACACCCAAAAATCCATACAAGTTCTGCAGCCTTTATGAGCGCTAAGCCTCACGGGAGTTACAGGCGCTGATGTTTAAGTTTTCGATCGGAGGTAACGACACCTGCTAAGCAAGTGCCGGCCAACTGAGGCTGCTACGATTTGACCGTAAACGATTGTAGTTGAAAATGAATAT